TGAACATTACTGAATAATCAGGCTTATTTAATTATACAAGAGAGACCAGGAACACCTGGTAAAAAAGACTTAGAGGAAAAAAACCCTTTCCTTTGTATTTTCCTACCTTTCAGAAGCCCAGAGGTGAGTCACAACTCTGAGAACTATTTAGTATGCAGAACTATATTGAATCAACAACAAATACTCTCATTTCAAAACCTCTAGTAAATATCATAGCATGAGGCTCAAGTGATTAGTTTCCCTCTCCTCCTCACCGATAGTCACCCCTGTGGAAAAAGCTTCTGTTTGTAGACTGATCTGTCACTCAATTATCATGGTATCGTTAGAATAGGAGCATTCTTCTTTCTTGATGCATCTCTTCATCTTTAAAAGAATGTCCTCGAAGAGTGTTATGGCTTAGCTAGTCTTACACATTATTTAAGTCACCCTATATATACCTTCTGTAGTTGCTTTCTGAAGATGCTGAAATATGACATTCTTTTTTTCCCCCCCCATGAAGCCAGAGATAAAAACTTGCTTTTCTTCTAAGCCAACTTTCTTTGGTGAGCAACCAAATTCAGTAAGTAACTCCCCAAAATAGGATTCCTACGTCCAATCCCAGGCAGAGATATTATAGCACCCATTTCATAAGCCTTCAAGTTCCTGTACTATGCTCACAGAATCACATTTAAACATAAGAGACTTCTATTTGAAAACTTCAGTTGTGTGTGTGCATGCATGTATACACACAGTATCTCCTAACTACTGTAAAGAGACATCCTTATTTGCTAGGTTTCCAAGAACAGTTCAGTTGTCTGAGGAAAGGCAGTGCCTGCAGCCGCATGCTTCATTTGACTCTGTCCGCCATAGTTCATAGCATTAGACAGCTTTTGTTTATCAGAAAGGAGTTCAAAGAAATGTTTCAAGTGCACAAACTCTGTGGAAAGACAGCTATGGATTTAATTATTTCTCTCCGAAAGATCTAGTTGAACCCCCTTTCCAAAGCCACCCTCGTGGTATTAAAAAACAAAAAGGAAAACAAAAACTCCCACAAAACCGAAAAACAACATGGAGAAGATTGCTGATATTTCTGTCAGATTCATTTTCATCATCTTCACAGATTATCCTGTCTCCAATCTCCCGAAGCCCTCTCTGGCGGTCTCACCCACTTCTTTACAAAGGTTCACTCAGTGTAACAGGGGAGAAAGGCCACTAGTGCTCATATTTGCTTCCTAACCTTGGGCTCCTGCTGTTCTCAAAGAATCAGTCTGAGACCAGGCCTGAGCACTGCTTCAGGCAGCCTGTTTCTTTCTAAGTGGACAATTTTTCTCCTCTTCCTCTTGCTTGTATGTCTTTCTCTGGTAAAATCAACCCTTACCCACAGGTCTGTGTCCTGCCAGGGCCATGAGCCTTGTGAGCTGGGATGGCACCCAGAGGAATGTGAAACCGCTTCTATCTCCTGGGCTCTCTGTGGCCCCAGGCTGGAGAGCTGTGGTCACCTTGATGTTGCGAGGGACCCTCCTCAGAACCCAGAGCAGATCCTCCTGCCTCTTATGCTCTTTGACACCATATCGACCAGTTCACAAAGGAAAATCTCTCCAAACACAGAGGCAAGGTTTTGGGGTTGACAAGACCCCTAGAGACAGAGACCAATCTGCAAGGCTCTACTCACCACTGAACCCCAGTGCTGAAGAAGAGACGCCCACATCCTCGCCCACACCAGCACTTACCACAGGGCACACAGAAGATGCCCCAGCAAATAACTGACTGAGGTGCCAAAGCAGAAGAGCAGCAAGGCAATGTGTCGTGGACTCTACCTTCTACCTAACGATCATTTCTATCACCTTGCACCAGCCACTGCCACGCCTGCCATCTGCTGCTGTAGGCATGCAGCATGATACACAAGGTTACTCCTCGGCACTACAAACCAACAGCCATCAAGTTCCTATTGGAATGGCTTCTCTCTTCTCCCAACACCACTGCCACTGCCACCACAGCACATGCTTGGCTGTGTCACTGCTAAAACGACAGGTTAGAAGAGTGGCAAATGACCATGGTAATAAGGAGTCATGGCTGGATGAACTACAGTGAGGTAGGGAGAACAGGTAAGATGAAGGGCATGGAGCCTGGCTGGACCTGAGGCAGGACCCACAGGCTAAAGACTGGTAAACAAGATTCATGTAGTTTAAAAAGTCCGATTGTATACGGGATTCTAGGCAGAACCCGGGCTCTCGAGCTAGATGGCATTCTGGTAAGTGTACCTCTGGACATGAGAACAGGGCTGTGGATCAGAGCCACAGGCAGCATGTAGTCAGTTGCTGATGAATGGTTTAGACTTGAGACAAAGCATATCTGAAAGAAGAAACAAGAAGACAAGAAAAACAAGTTGTGAACAGCACAAAAGTAAGGAATCAGGAACTCCACGGAGGTTGAAGGGGCCAGGCAAAGTAAGAAGAATGGCTAACACCAAGAAAGAACTAGATAACAGGTCTCTGGCCTAAGCTTTTATAAGATTTTTCTTGTTGTAGAACCTGCTGATGATAGATTAGAAATAAGTAACTGGGAGCACCTGGCTGATGTCCAGAGTGGGTAGGTGAGACAAAGCTATACCCTCTGGCAGACAGACCCTGCTAAGCAAGTAGAGACAGAGACTGAATTGGGCCAACTAGAGTGTCCATACGAGTATTTGAATACAAAATGGCTGCCCAAATTTGACACTGGAGGTGGCTATACAATTAGAAAGATGCTCAGTATGGTTCAGCCCTATTCCTTTTTTCTTTTCTTTCTTATTTTGTTTTTAGAGGAGGGAGAGAGGGGTAGGTGGAGGGGCAGAGAGAGAATCTTAAGCAGGCTCCATGCCCAGCAGAGAGCCTGACGTGGGGCTCGATCTCACAACCCTGAGATCATGACCTGAGCTGAAATCAAGAGTTGGGTGCTTATCCAAATGAGCCACCCAGGCGCCCCAAGTTCAGCCCTATTCCAAATGAGGTCCCTTCGCAGAGGGATCATGCCTGGGATGTGGAGATAGCATGTCAAGATGGAAAGAATGTGGAGTTTAGAATCAGAAAGAGTCTGAAACTCAGTTCTGTCTCTCACTAGCTGTGATTCTGGGTGGGTTACTTCTCTGAATCTCAATTTCCTCATCTGTAAACAGGTTGTCAATAGGTTTTGTAATAACAGGCTCTGTAATGATTAAATTAGAGAGCCTCTGTACTGTGCCTAACAGAATATCTAATTCAATAAATGATTGTTCTTACAAAGAGTTGCAGTAGTATTACTCATGGAGACACTCCTTATAGATGTGGTCAGTAGTAACAACAACAGTAATAAAAATAATTCTATGAACAATAGTATGGGCAACTCCAGACTTAACAAGCGAATCTGTTTCTGGGAACACCTGAGAGTCAAAGCATGGTTGCCTATAATGGGACGTCCAGCTTTACCTTGAATGCTGACGTTAGACCACTGAGTTCTACACCACGCAGATCAAATTGTCACATCCTTTACTTCCTTCCCCCCTCCCTTCCCTGATTCACCAATCAGCACTGACTGCGCCATCCTCGCCATCCCTTGGTAGGGAGTCGGCACTGGTACAGGCAACAGCTCTTAGGAAGTGGGAAACACAAGTTTGGTGGTTACTACAGAGGGTATGAATATGAGGAGGAGGATGGAACTTTTAAAAAAGCAGGATATGATAATCCACAAGTTTTATCTCCTCAGTTGAGTCGTCTGCATTTGTACAGTGCTTTAGAGTTCCTACATACACGCTATCTTATTGGACTTCAAAATAACTCTAAAGTCAACAGGATAAATGTTATTATTTCTGGTTTATGGATAAGGTAAATGAAGCTCAGAGAGGTTTTAGTGATTTACTCCAGGTCATGCACTGTGAGGTGGGGGAACCAGGCTAGAACCTGGATCTCTCAATTTGTAGGTTAGTGCTTGACTGCTGTAATTGTTTTATAACCTGTGGTTAAACCAGCAGGTACTTTTATTTTTTTAATCTATTTATATGTGATATTTTTCTCACTTAAAAGAAAGCTCTGGTTTCTGAGAAATGTAACTTGTTTCTGAAATGGTTTTATTTCATTTTGTTAATTTTATAAGTATAGAATTTAATTATATTTATAGAAAAGTAATCTTTTTAAATTGGATAATTATTTGGTATTATTCAAATTGATTTTCACATTTCCCAGTTATTTTTAGTTGAAAATAATATGTGTACTGTATTATGGTAGAAAATATTTCTTCTCAGGGACTAGCAAATTATTCACTTCACTGCCATCAGGAATGAATTATTCATTAATAAAAAATGCTTTTATGAGTAAAATCATAGGAGGCTTACTATGACAGCTTAGGGTTCTGTGGGGCCTCATATTTTAATTTTTTTAAAATGGCACCTTTGTTTCTTACAAGTTAACAAAATCATTCAATTCTCAGTGAAAATAAATGTATTCTTTTATTAAAATGGGCCTGCCACAGAAACCTACAGTGAATAATATGTTATTTGTTTGCCAGTGTGACATTTCTAGCTCAGCAGGCAGTTCGGCCAATTGTAAAGTTTTTAAAATTGTGTAGTCTGGTTATCTGACAATATTAATCATTAGGATACCCAATACAAATTTTTCTCTGTAGAATTCAACATCTAGACAGGTATCTTTGTACCAGCAGCTGTCCTTTCATATTGCTCAATAACCCCCATCAATTTTACAGTCATATATATATAATATATACACACATGTTTTCATTCCTTTTTTAGAGCAAATCATCTCATATTGCCTATATTTTGTCCCTAAACAACATTTATGCACAGATTTCTGTTTTAAAATATGAAATTCCAGACTGAAATAAACTTTGTTAACTGGGACTGATGCTTTGTTCACTATAAAAATGGATTTAGAGAGGCAATTCAGGATAAACAGAAAGAAGGCAACTACCCTATCCTTCCTAGTCAAGGACACAAGGGCTTTCCGTCTTAGTCTTTGGCTTTTTTGCTTTGCCAGATGAATACGATCACTTACCAAGTGGCAAAAATGCGAGACGGTTTCCAGCCATGGAGAGCTCATTGAGGCTGGGCAGGTGGCAGAGATGGCGCGGCACGCACCGTAGACGATTGCGGTCCACGGTGAGGTACTGCAGAGAAAGGCACAGGTGAAGCCTCTCGGGTAAAGTTAGCAAACGATTGGTAGAAATGTCTAGTGTCTGCAGCTCCTTCAAATCGCCAACCTCTACAACCAAAATCAAAATTAAGATAAATCGCATCCTGATTAAATTAAATAAAATGAATCAATACTGTTAACAGTTCAAAACAAATAAAATCAGTAGCTGTAGCAATTTCCACAGACATGAATGCCGAAATATGCAAATAATCCAACAGAGGTAGGTGTCTTTAATTAGCCTGCTGGAATTTTTTTTTTTAATGGAGAAGAGTGCTCGCCTAGAAAAAGGAGACACAAAGTAGTGAATATGAGCCAGAAGTCTGATACCCCGGTTTCTGATGCTTGATGAATCAAAAGTTGTTGCTAGTGTGGGAAAAGAAAAATTATAGTCACTTCCAGGTACCTGGTCTTTGATAATTTTGCGATTTTACCTTCTATCTAAGTAAAGAGTGGGAGCTTTAAAAACAAATTATAGTATCCCACCAAGTGTACCTTGTTTATATGAACTAGACAGAAAAATATCTGGACTGAGAGTTAAGATGTCTTTTGGAAAATTTCACAATGGCGAAGAATATAGTAAGATGAAATTGTTGGTAGGCAATATTTTTTGGATACTGTTGAGCCATATCGTTCTTTTTTTAAAAACCCACTCAAAGTATACACATCTTACGAAGATTTAATTTCATCCAAATGAAGTCCTTCCATTTATACTTTAATATTCCCTTATTAATGCTACCTATAGTTGTAATCTGTTCCATGGTGACTACAATTATGTCCCTGTATTACACCAAATCACTAAGTCTAAAGGTTGGGAAGTTCTTTACAAGGTACTCCATTCTTTTCAGGAAAAATCACTGCCATGAAGCCTCTCTGAGCCGAGTAAGCTCTGCTAAGCAATCTCTAGGGAATGGACGTTTACTCTGTGAAGACAGTACAATCTACTCAAGGTTCCACAGGAAGCACTGTGTAGGGCAAATCTACTTCTTCCACATTATGGAACTTCTAAGTTGAAGTCCACGGAGGCTGTCTCTTGGCCTTCTCTAATCCTGACCCTGTTCCATGAGCCATTCCCCTCAGGGTAAGGTTTCCCATGTTCTGGCCACTTTACTGCACCCCCTGGGCACATCCCAGTTTGTTCAGGGGTTGGGTTAGTATTAGCAATGTCTTCTCTACCGGACAGAAAATCTTCTGCCCTATTGGATGCCCAATTACACAGACTACCTTTTCTTACTGCTACAGACCACGGGTTGGCAAACTAGGGCTCACAGGAGAATCTGGCCTGTGGCCCGCTTCTATACTGTCTGCAAACTAAGACTGGTTTTTACATTTCTAAAAGGTGGCAAAAAAAACAGCAAAAACAAAAACAAAAAAGAATATGTAGCAGAGACCATATGTGGCCTGCAAAGCTTAAAAATACTTACTATCTTGCCATTTACAGAAAAAGTTTGTCAATCTTTGTTAGAGACTGTTACCCAGAGCATTTTTAGTAACTATTTTTAATGAAAGTAATACAAGTGCAAAATGTATTAATTTCTAGTTATTTTTATAATATTACAAGGGATTTGTGCTGGGAAATTCATACTATATTGCCCAATTTCCCCAATACTGAGCAACATATGTATTTGAATATGGGCAGGAAGGATTCAGGGAACAGTCTGTGATGCTTAATTGGAGTTTTGTTCTATTTGAACCTAACTGATGCACACAGGAGTCAATTTCATTCTTGGTTCCATTAGCACAGTGTTTCATTTAGGTATGCTTGCCAATCTACCTATCTAATTCACACACAAAAAATGCCTCTAATTTGGGATGTGTGGGGTGAGGCAGTTGAGGGAAGAATCATCATGTCCTAGCACTGGATAAATAGCAACAAGAAACCTTCCTCACCTCGCTTTATAAAGTTACTACAGAAATGAAATGGGACAGAAGTGCGACGAATCAGCTACACACCACAGGGCCAGGTGCAGAGAGAATAAGACAAGGTCTCCACCTTTGAGAATCCCAGTACACATAAGAGACAATGTGTGGGGCACCTGGGTGGCTCAGCTCATGATATCAGGGTCATGAGATCGAGCCCCACCTTGGGCTCTGGGCTCAGTGCAGAGTCTGCTCTGCTTGAGATTCTCTTCCTCTCCCTCTGCCCCTCCCCCAACTCACATGTGATCTCTTGATCTCTCTGTAAAATAACTAAAATCCTAAAAAACAAAAAAAAGATGATGTGTGATAGGAAGGTCAGAGAAAGAAGAGGTAGATGAGGGGTGGGAGAAACTTTTGCAAAATGTACTGGAGAAGACCAGCACTTGAAAAACTGAAAAGGAAAATGGATACAGCCCTGCCAGCAGGGGCTGGGGGTGTGGCTGAAAGATCAGGAAAGGCATGTAAGTGAAAATATAAATGCAGCATGCACAACGGGCTATTTGGAGCCCAACCAGTAACAAAGACGCCCATGGGAGAAGGGTAGGAAATAAGTACCTTATGAAGGCCTTCATGCAGATGTGAGTGATAATGAATTCTGGGTAGAGAGACTTGGACTCACAGCAGTGAGAATATGACATCTCCTGAAGATTCATACAGAATAACAGCACTCTTTTGAAAAAACTAGAATGATGGATATATAAAGCAGCAGTGGAATGGAAGGAGATTCTAGGCTGAGAAAACAAGTAGACATTTGACTAGAACAGAGGCAGTGTGACAAATTTAAAGAATTCCAGAGATATTTTAAGAAAAGCATCAGGGGTACTTGACTAGAAACAGAAAACAGTAAAATAAAAAATGGTCAAAGATAATGTTAGTGCTTCTAGATTATTATACTCTAAGTATGGTGATGCCAATGCTAAAAACTTAATTTTTTTATGAAAAAATTAAAATTATATCAATTCTGAATTGCAGTATCTATTAAACCACATATTGAAAGAAATTTGAAAAATCCATTAAAAATCACATGGGAGCAAGCAAAAGAAATTATTTTAATCATTAGTTACAAAATAATTAAATGTGTAAAGAAGTGTTTTGATGTGGTTGCAAAAATTACTAAAGCTTGCAATTGCCCACTATTTATTTTTTTAATAAAGATTTATTTATTTATTTAAAGAAAGTGCAAGCAAGCATGTGAGCAGTCACGAGTGGGAGGAGAGATAGAGGGGAAGGCAGAAGGACAAGGAGACTCTGCGCTGAGCAGAAGCCCTACACAGGGCTCAATCCCAAGACCCTGAGATCATGACCTGAGCCGAAACTAAAAGTCGGGCACTTAACCAACTGAGCCAGCCAGGCGCCCCAACTGCCCACCATTTCAATTCAGCATTGCCTTATTGTATTGTGAGATGGGGAAATAATATGTGATTATAATTCTAAATTTTCCATAACGTGATGATTTACTTTTTACAGTGGTAACAGATCAATATTTCCACTCTGCTTTGGCAGACATGCACACATATTTCAGATACTAAAATTAATAACACTTTTGACCAAAAAGGGGAAACACATAATGTCAGTACCAAAGGTCAAAGTACTGAGGAATGGGAAGGAGAACGAAAAGCTGACATTTCTTACTTCCTATGTGAGATGAATAAAAGCATTTTATTAAATCTGAAACATGCAGGACTGCACATATTAAATGAATGAGTACAACAAAAGGACATTATTCTCAGTAGCTTACTATTTTGGCCTTTTCAATTGTTATAAAAAAACTTAAGCTAACTATTATTCCAATTAAAGTATTGAGTTGAATACTGTCTATAATGTGATTGGAAAATTAATGATTTTGTCAAACTGTGAAAGTATGTGGGAAACAGAGAAATAAAAATTAAATAGCTTCTCAGGTAGACTCAATTAAACATAATTTTCATGACCATTTTACACCAGGCTTCAAATCTAGGACTACATATGGCATCTTAACTTCAATAATTTATTAAAAAATACACTTGCTTAAGCTCAGCCAACACAAAAATACATTTTTTTTTCAAATTTTTATTCAAGTTCTAGTTAGATAACATATGCAATGTTGGCTTCAGGAGCAGAATTCAATGATTCATCACCCACATACAACACTCAGTGCTCATTACATCAAGTGCTCTCTTTAATACCCATCCCCCATCTAGCCCATGCCCCACCAACTCCCCTTCAGCACCCCTCTGTTTGTTCTCTATCTTTAAGAATCTTTTATAGTTTGTTTCCCTTTCTCTTCCTTCCTTTTTTTTTTTTTTTTGGTGGGGGTAGTGGAAGCACATTTTTAGAAAGCAATTGAGTCAAAATTTATCTAAGATTCTAACTTAAATACAAAAAAATAGGAAATAAGGGCGCCTGGGTGGCTCAGTTGGTTAAGCGACTGCCTTTGGCTCAGGTCATGATCCTGGAGTCCCGGGACAGAGTCCCACATCGGGCTCCCTGCTCAGCAGGGAGTCTGCTTCTCCCTCTGACCCTCTTCCCTCTCGTGCTCTCTATCTCTCATTCTCTCTTTCTCAAATAAATAAAATCTTTAAAAAAAAATAGGAAATAAGCCTGGGGTAGCAATATATCAGGCAGAAATAAAGAAAGAGAATCCAAAGTGTGAGCTCAAGTTAAAAACTTGAAAACTCTCAGCCAAACGTAAATCTAGCAAAAGTGGTCAAGTCTAAAGATGGCACCAAGGCCAGGACAACCGGATGCTCATTAAGTAACTCTTCCTTCACTCCTGAAAATCCAAGATTCCTTCTTCTATCAGTTCAGTCAGACTGAAAAACTTTTAGCATTTCTCATAGAGCAGGTATGCTGACAACAAATTCTCTTAGTTTTCCTACACTTGGGAGTGTCCTCCTATCATTGTGATTCCTAAAGATTAATTTCATTAGATACAGAATTCTGGGGTGACCATGTTTTCCTCTCAGTAATTTAAAGATGCTGTTCTATTGTCTTCCAGCCTCCATGGTGTCCAAGGAAAACTCTACAGCCATTTGAATCATTGTTTCTTTAGGTGCTTTCAAGATTTGTTCTTTAACTTTAGTTGTTAGCAGGTTGATTATGATGTACCTGTAAATGACTTTTTTGAATTTATCCTAGTTGGGGTCAGCTGAGCTTTTTAAGTAAACCCTATA